GGAGGGAAAGATTTTAAAAAATATATTTTCAAGTATGTACGTGACGCTACTTTAATAGTAGCAGGTAATAAACTTGGCAGTGTGATTTTAAGTCTTATGATTTTTTCTGTGTGAAATATTGATTTTAAACAAATGTAGGAAAGACAGTAACAAAATATAATAATGTCCAATTTATGAGAGGAGAGTTCAATAGAGATCCCTCATGAACGCAGCAAAAATGAGTAGCTCTGTCTAGTTTCAGATGCTGAATAAAAGTGTTATTTAATGGAAGATGGATATTATACTGCGATTAATTGCAGTAAGTGCTGCCAAAGCACAACAAACTTCAACAGATCTGAAGATAGCTTGACTGGACTAAACAAGAAGTGAAAAGAAAACCCATCCTGGAGCTGACTGTTCAAACAAAGACTGTTTAAAGTTAAAGACGTGCTTAGACAGGCAGTCATGGCAAACTGAGCCTTTCCAGTAATGGATATAACATGTCATTAAGCAATGTCTTTAGGTGATCTGATCTACACACAAGAATGTTAACATTCTGGATAGGTTACAAATAGGGAAAATAAGACATTTGACAATATTGATAAGGTGACGCCCAATGGATAATGGCTGGGTCCAGCCAGCTGTACCTGGCTTTACCATTAAAATGCTTATTTTAGAAACTATCCAACCCCACATGCTCTTTATCAGAATAAGCAACTAATTCCAATTTAGAGGCCATATAGGTGGACATGTGTTTTTAGTTTATAAGTACATAATATTAATTATCTATAATGGAATACTGTCCAAAGGATAACTGGCATTAAAAAAAGACTCCTCCTACCAAAACAAAAGGAGATGTTAACAAACGTATTTTGAATTGGAGGGAATTATATTTTGGTTGGTAAAGTCCAAACACCTGCTCTGTCTTGATCAAGTATGTTCTGTTAGAAATAGCCTCTTTCCTGCCTCATACTGAGAAAGAGGGACGATCAACAAGTTATCTCAAGTGTCTATACACAAATGCAAGAAGCCTGGGAAACAAGCAGGGAGAACTGGAAGTCCTGGCACAGTCAAAGAATTATGATGTGATTGGAATAACGGAGACTTGGTGGGATAAGTCACATGACTGGAGTACTGTCATTGATGGATCTAAACTGTTCAGGAAGGACAGGCAGGGCAGAAAAGGTGGGGGAGTTGCATTGTATGTGAGAGAGCAGTATGACTGCTCAGAGCTCCGCTAGGAAACTGCAGAAAAACCTGAGTGTCTCTGGATTAAGTTGAGAAGTGTGAGCAACAAGGGTGATGTCGTGGTGGGAGTCTGCTATAGACCACCGGACCAGGGGGATGAGATGGACAAGGCTTTCTTCCGGCAACTAACGGAAGTTACTAGATCACAGGCCCTAGTTCTCATGGGAGACTTCAATCACCCTGATATCTGCTGGGGAGCAATACAGCGGTGCACAGCCAATCCAGGAAGTTTTTGGAAAGTGTAGGGGACAATTTCCTGGTGCAAGTGCTGGAGGAACCAACTAGGGGCAGAGCTCTTCTTGAGCTGCTGCTCACAAACCAGGAAGAATTAGTAGGGGAAGCAAAAGTGGATGGGAACCTGGGAGGCAGTGACCATGAGATGGCCAAGTTCAGGATCCTGACACAAGGAAGAAAGGAGAGCAGCAGAATATGGACCCTGGACTTCAGAAAAGCAGACTTTGACTCCCTCAGGGAACTGATGGGCAGGATCCCCTGGGAGAATAACATGAGGAGGAAAGGAATCCAGGAGTATTTTAAAGAATCCTTATTGAGGTTACAGGGACAAACCATCCCGGTGTGTCGAAAGAATAGTAAATATGGCAGGCGACCAGCTTGGCTTAACAGTGGAATCCTTGCTGATCTTAAACACAAAAAAGAAGAATACAAGAAGTGGAAGATTGGACAAATGACCAGGGAAGAGTAAAAAAAATATTGCTTGGGCATGCAGGAGTGAAATCAGGAAGGCCAAATCACACCTGGAGTTGCATCTAGTAAGACATGTTAAGAGTAACAAGAAGGGTTTCTTCAGGTATGTTAGCAACAAGAAGAAAGTCAAGGAAAGTGTGGGCCCCTTACTGAATGATCGAGGCAACCTAGTGACAGAGGATGTGGAAAAAGCTAATGTACTCAATGCTTTTTTTGCCTCTGTCTTCAAGAACAAGGTCAGCTCCCAGACTACTGCCCTGGGCAGCACAGCATGGGGAGTAGGTGGCCAGCCCTCTGTGGAGAAAGAAGTGGTTTGGGACTATTTAGAAAAGCTGGACGAGCACAAGTCCATGGGGCTGGATGCTTTGCATCCGAGAGTGCTAAAGGAGTTGGTGGCTGTGATTGCAGAGCCATTGGCCATTATCTTTGAAAACTCATGGCGATCGGGGGAAGTCCCGGACGACTGGAAAAAGGCTAATGTAGTGCCCATCTTTAAAAAAGGGAAGAAGGAGGATCCTGGGAACTACAGGCCAGTCAGTCTCACCTCAGTCCCTGGAAAAATCATGGAGCAGGTCCTCGAGAAATCAATTCTGAAGCACTTAAGGGAGAGGAAAGTGATCAGGAACAGTCAGCATGGATCCACCAAGGACAAGTCATGCCTGACTAATCTAATTGCCTTCTATGACGAGATAACTTGTTCTGTGGATGAGGGGAAAGCAGTGGATGTGTTGTTTCTTGACTTTAGCAAAGCTTTTGACACAATCTCCCACAGTATTCTTGCCAGCAAGTTAAAGAAGTATGGGCTGGATGAATGGACTATACGGTGGATAGAAAGCTGGCTAGATTGTTGGGCTCAACGGGTAGTGATCAATGGCTCCATGTCTAGTTGGCAGCTGGTATCAAGCGGAGTGCCCCAAGGGTCGGTCCTGGAGCCAGTTTTGTTCAATATCTTCATTAATGATCTGAAGGATGGCGTGGATTGCACCCTCAGCAAGTTTGCAGATGACACTAAACTGGGAGGAGAGGTAGATATGCTGGAGGGTAGGGATAGGATACAGAGGGCCCTAGACAAATTAGAGGATTGGGCCAAAAGAAATCTGATGAGGTTCAATAAGGACAAGTGCAGAGTCCTGCACTTAGGACGGAAGAATCCCATGCACTGCTACAGACTAGGGACCGAATGGCTCAGCAGCAGTTCTGCAGAAAAGGACCTAGGGGTGACAGTGGACAAGAGGCTGGATATGAGTCAACAGTGTGCCCTTGTTGCCAAGAAGGCCAATGGCATTTTGGGCTGTATAAGTGGGGGCATAGCCAGCAGATTGAGGGACGTGATTGTTCCCCTCTATTCAACATTGGTGAGTCCTCATCTGGAGTACTGTGTCCAGTTTTGGGCCCCACATTACAAGAAGGATGTGGAAAAAATTGGAAGACGTCCAGTGGAGGGCAACAAAAATGATTAGGGGTCTGGAACACATGATTTATGAGGAGAGTCTGAGGGAACTGGGATTGTTTAGTCTCCGGAAGAGAAGAATGAGGGGGGATTTGATAGCAGCTTTCAACTACCTGAAAGGGGGTTCCAAAGAGGATGGATCTAGACTGTTCTCAATGGTAGCAGATGACAGAACGAGGAGTAATGGTCTCAAGTTGCAGTGGGGGAGGTTTAGGTTGGATATTAGGAAAAACTTTTTCCTAGGAGGGTGGGGAAGCACTGGAATGTGTTCCCTAGGGAGGTGGTGGAATCTCCTTCCTTAGAAGCTTTTAAGGTCAGGCTTGACAAAGCCCTGGCTAGGATGATTTAGTTGGGGATTGGTCTTGCTTTGAGCAGGGGGTGGGACTAGATGACCTCCTTAGGTCCCTTCCAACCCTGAGATTCTATGATTCTATGAGTAGCAGTGAGCACACTCATTTAGCCACAGCTGTACAGACAAACGGGCCCGCAATTTTTGGTGGCCATTTGACAGTGCAGCCTTATTGCACCACACTAGCATGGATTTAGTTTATTCCACCTTTTAGAGAAGAACAGAATCTTAACATAGAAAAATTGTGGTGAGCTATCCCCCCACTACCAAGCCAGCATGTCTCAAGTCTGGGTCACCTTTCTGGATGAGAAAATGATTTATTCTCCAGGTCCAATCACTCACTGACCTCTCTCTGCTAAGGTTGCCAACAATGGGGGGCCAGCGTTGGTAGGTAGTGCAATATTCTTATTCCTTTGTGAGTCTCAATACATTTCAGTGGGGCAAAATAGGAACATAAGAATTGCCACATAGGCTGGAGAAAGTGGTCCTTCAGGTTCAATGTCTTGTCTCTGACTGAAGTCAATATCAAATGCTTCACAGGAAGGTATGCAGCATTGTAATAAACAATATTTCAGTAACCATAAGCAGACAAATAATTATAAAATGCCTTCTGAGGGTTTCAGAGTAGCAGCCGTGTTAGTCTGTATCCGCAAAAAGAACAGGAGTACTTGTGGCACCTTAGAGACTAACAAATTTATTTGAGCATAAGCTTTCGTGAGCTACAGCTCACTCCATCAGATGGGGAGCATAAGCTTTTGTGAGCTAAAGCTCACTTCATCGGATGCATCCAATGAAGTGAGCTGTAGCTCACGAAAGCTTATGCTCAAATAAATTTCTTAGTCTCTAAGGTGCCACAAGTCCTCCTGGTCTTTCTTCTGAGGGTGTTTCTTCCTAATCCGAAAAAGCGAAAAGTGAATGGTTGATTTGTGTGCTGAGTCAGGAAGGCTTCTGCCCTTTTATACATTTAGCATTAAGTGTAGATGGTACTAAGCTTACAATAGAGTAGTTCAGTGATGGTGAGTGTGGATTTCTACATGTGAAGAGTTCAGCAATAGGTTGCTGTGTTTTGCCTCTTGAGCATGTCTGGCCACAAGCAGTTTTGCATTCCCTGTCTTGTGAATAGGTAAGAGGGGGAAACAAAGAGGGTGGAGTGGTTTGATCTGTTTGATGTGGTGCACCACAAAGAGGCTGAACTAAAAATGCATGCGAAAGAGCTGCTATATATGAACAACAGACTCCTTAATCCCTGCCGTGTTTCTTGTTCAACAGCCCAGTTGCATCAGTGAGTTGGGTCCTCCAGGTCGCAGCTCTTTGGATAGCATGGAAATGGCCTATGCCCGACAAGTGAGTATGCTGAAAGGGGATAACAAATCATTGCCAATGCGCCTTAGCCACGACAGACATGGGAGAACCCCTGAGTGAGTGAAAAGAGGTACATCAGGACAGGGATGACCGCACCTGGCTGGGATGAAAATGCAGTCAAGAAAAGACAAGAAACTTAGCCTGGCTTTTTCTCAGAAATGTGCTTCTCTATCTACTGCACAATTTGCATCTAAAGGTGATGCTGATGCCATGTGTAATTACCCAGATCACTCATGGTTATATAGTAAATGGAAACTTTTTTTATCCTTTGTTATGTGAGACTTTTCAAACTCATGTTAAAATGTAAAAGTATTCAAACCAATACTCTACATTCTCGCAGTTTTTCAGATTTCAGAGGTACCCTTGGTGATTGGGGAGGTGGCAGTGGGGAAAGAGACTCAAATATTCATTATGGCAGTTGTCAAGTTATATCCAGTTTTAACTGGGTCACTTATGAGGAACTGCAGAACACCAGGGCTGAATTAGATGGCTGCATTGGAACTGATCTGAAAAATTTCAGGAGAAGATATTAAATCTATTCATAACCATAAGCAATTATGTTTTTGGTTTCTTTGGTTTTGGCTTTTTGGTTTTTTTATTCAAAGACTAAGGTTCTGATTACCAGTAATATTGGAAGCAAAATAAAAGACAGGGACTTGATTTTCAGAATTGCACGTGCAAAACTGCACCCAGTTCCTTGCACTGAATTACCAGGATTACATGCGTAAATCAGATATTTGTGCAGACAGATGGCTAGTTACACATCTGTTTTGCCATTTCTATATGCAGTCATGGTAACTGTGTACAAAATTAGTTACGCATTGATAAACGTGTTTTTTAAAATTGGGGCTGAAATACCTTTATTCACTTAGCATCGGTTCTGATTCTGTTCTATTTGTTGTTAATCCATAATTAATTTGTTGGCTCCCATCTGCACTGTAGAACTACTGTGCTAAAGCCCCCATACAATAGGGTTCAAACCATGGTTTTAGATTACAGGAAGATCATTCCTCATTTTTCTGGAATAGATTTAGTTTACTGTAATAGCTCATGAATATAGGAATACTTCTAAATTCAGTAAATAAGACACTATCAGATCCCCTACTGCAAAAACGGAGAGTCTGAGTTTCAAAGGTCCTAGCACCTTCAGCTGCTATGGATTTCAGTGGAAGTTTAGGGTGCTCAGCACCTCTAAAAATCAGGTTATTGTTATATACTGTCTCAGCATGGTATCAGTACCTATTTAATAAAACTACAGTGAAGCTCTTTTTAATACGGGATAAAATAATTGTTCCATGCAGCAGCCCAGAACCATTCACAGGAGCCCAGTGAAGTTTAGTTTCAACGACTGCCTGGTAATGGAATAGTTCAGAGGCCAAGCCCACTGCTGTAGTGGTAGAGGAACGCATTACCATCATTGGGGACAGTTTGGATCCTGAGTACAGTTTCTTGCATCTATGCTAGGAATGCTGAGGAGATAATAGTATATCCAGCTGCTAGAGAGTAGGGGGGAGCCTTTTATCAGCCTCCAACTCTCCCTTCCAGGTAAATGCCTGGAAGGTTTTCAGAGGTAGCTCTAATTATCCATTTTACCTGGAAGGGAAGGTTTCTGGGCTGGGAATGAAGGAAAATGTAGAAAAGAAGTAGCTAAAATAAGATCAAGATTTTTAAAAATGGGCATTATGCTCCTAAATCATTATTCAGGCACCTAAACAAGCAAGTGGGCTGAAGTCACCTCTGAAAATGGATGTGCCCAAATGAGGATTTAGGAGCAACTTTTGAAAATCTTCACCTAGCTTCTAATACACAAATAACTGAACTGTAATGAACAATTGATCTGTTCAATGCATATATTTCTCTCTCTGCAAATTACAGTCCTCAAGTCTTAAAAATTCCAAGAAGAGAGGGCAATGTTAGAGCAGCTTGCTCAATGTTTGGTGGAATTCACTCTGCAGGGCAGATAATCTCTTGCAGGACTGGAGGAATTTTAAGGCTCTGGGATGGATCTGAAAGGAATGCTTTTTCTCTTGCAACACAGCTTCATTTAACAAGTTTCTGCTGTACAGGTTGCTCTGGGTTGGGGTTTATAAACACTGCTACCACTAAGGGACTTAATATGGTTTCCAGAATTCTTTTCCTGTCTCTTCGACAGAAATGGGAGTGGTGTACAGTGAACCGTCACTCTGACAGTCATATATCTGCCAGCAGTTTTCCCTCCTACGTTGCAATTAGTCTAACAGAGCAACCAGTGCAAAGCTCTGCCATGCAGAACAACTGAGTAACTGTATTGTTCCTGACATTCAAGCAGCTCTGGGGCTGTGGTAGTTTTGTGGGGGGTGCTTTTCATGTTGCTGCCCATCCCTCCCCTTGTGTCCTGGGTAGAAGGCAGCTGATGTGGGAAGAAAACTGGCTGGAGACCTTGAAGGCCATCCAGTCTTGAAGCCTGTTTCAAATTCTGCTGCTGTAACAGGGTGGAGGAAAGAACCATATGCATTGTGAAAATTGCTTACTTTTGATATGTTTCAGATTTATATTTATAATGAGAAGATAGTGAACGGACATGTACAGCCTAACCTGGTAGACTTTTGTGTTGCTGTTGCTGAACAGGATGATAAGGTAATGCCAATCAGTTAACATAGGAAGATGTCCTTAATCTGTTTTCAGCTGTGATTAGCAGCCTGCTGACATTTACAAAAATGTACTGATATCACAAGACAAAATTGCATTGCTTTACAGAAGATAACAAGCCAGGAATGCAGTCTTCTTCAGTACAGCAGGGCCCGTGTGGTAAACTCTGGGACTGAAATTCTATTTACAGCGAGGTAGAAAAAAATGCCCTGTTGTTTCATTGCTTTGTGATCCCTAGAAACAAGTACTTCACTTTAAATGGATCCTGTTGTGTCTTGCTTTAAAAGCAGGCCCCCCGATATCCACATGTGCCATTGTGTACATGTGCTTTCAAAGAGTTCCTGAATGAAGGGGCTCATCTTCAGATCTGGATTGTGGAGAATGTAGGTTGGTCTCCAATAATAATACTGGTTCCTGTTTAAACCCAAGCACCAACTAAATAGCCTTGCAGAGGCTTTAAGCCAACATTAAATCTGCTTTTCCTATTTCACTCCCTCAGCGGGATTGCTGTGATAGCAGACTCGTCGAAATATACTGTGCTGTGAACTTTAATTCGTCAAGTCTCAGCTTTGTTCCGGATTGTGCCACCTATCTGGGAAATCCCTTCACCTTCTTGCTGGCCCGTGGCAGTCGCTAAAGGTGCTATTGCAAAATAACACTGCTTTTGGACTTGCTGCTGTTTTTTGCTTTTCTTCTTTTTTCCTCCACAATATTTCATATTACAGTAACACCCCACAGTTCCCATAAGCACCAGGGATGCGTTGTGCTAGGCACGCTCCAAATGCACAGCTGGACATAGTCGCTGAGCCAGAGATCTTCGTTGTATGATTTAGTATTTCTAACCTTTTCCTGAATATTGCAGCTCTTTTGTATTCTTTTTCTGGACTTATCGATTATTTTATTTTTATGTAAGTTATCCTTTTTTTAAAAAAAATCCTTGAAGAAATTACCAGTTGGATAAACATCTTGCAGGTGATAAAAGAGCCTGATTCTGCTCTCAGTTACATTGGTGTAAGTCAGGAATGACTCCAATGCAGTGGAAAAGCCATGTAGATGAGATCAGAGTCTCGCTCAGAGAGCTTTCAGATGAAAGAATAGCAGGGAGGGGCTTTTATCAAGAAGAGTAAAAAAAAAAAAAAAAAAAAGTATAAAGCTGTTTTTACTGTAGTTATCCATACATCAGTGTCCTTCACACAACTGTTTTCGATGAGGTGGGTATAATCTTAAAGCAGAAGGGTTGTAAGGAGAGAGATTGAATGCGTATGTGACTCACGCTTGGGGGAAGAAAGGAAGTTCTAGATGTGTACAAGTGATAGTGACTACTTATAACACTCCCCGGTTTTCCTCCAAAACAACCGCACAGACTATGAAGAGCTGTGGGAAGAGAACAGGGAAGTGACTCATATTGGAAAGTAAAGCCAGAGCAGAGGTTGCCAAACCAGGTGTCCAAAATTTCTTGGCCATCTAACAAACCTAAATGACTTCGAATGTACACCTGTACTAGAGAGCTTAACAGACTCTGAGGGCTTTGAGCAATTCTGTTTTCATTTTAACAGAGACAACTCAGAGTTTCAGTGCTTGTCACATAGAAGCATCGTGGGTGAAATTCCGACCTCATTGGAGTCGATGGCAGAACTCCCATTGATTTCAGTGTGGTCAGGATTTCATCTCGTGTGTCTTACTATTTTAGTAGAGGAGGACTGGTCCTGTGTGTAGTGATAACTTAATCTGCATGAAGATGTAGGCCGAGGCCCCAGGGTCTCCACATTTTTTGTAATGTGGACCACATCTGAACAGACAGAGAGAGAGTCTTGTGGATACATCCCCTCCTGTTTGTGATTCCATAACTTCCCAGGGCAACTACAGCAATTGTTTATCCGGAAACTACAGCTAGGAAAGTGTTTGTTTAAAGCAGGGGTGGCCAACCTGTGGGTCCGGAGCCACATGGGGCTCTTCAGAAGTTAATATGCGGCTCCTTGTATAGGCGCCGACTCAGGGGCTGGAGCTACAGGCGCCAACTTTCCAATATGCTGGGGGGTGCTCACTGCTCAACCCCTGGCTCTGCCCCAGGCCCAACCCCACTCCATCCCTTCCCCTTCGTCTGCCACGCCCTTGCTCCTCCTCCTCCCCCCAGCCTCCTGCACACCACAAAACAACTGATCATGGTGGGCGGGAGGTGCAGGGATGGAGGGTTAGGCGCTGATCGACGGTGCTGCTGGCTGATGGGGCGGGAGAGCTGAAGGGGGGCTGCTGACGTGTTACTGTGGCTCTTTGGCAATGCACACTGGTAAATTCTGGCTCCTTCTCAGGCTCTGGTTGGCCACTCCTGGTTTAGAGTGATATAATGACTTGAAGCAAGGAAGCAGACCCATCACCAAGCCCCCAACCAGCTGTCTGAAAGCCATAGTCAGTCATCTGTGGACCACAGTCAGACAAAATCTTTGCAGGCAAATGCTCCTTCAAAGGAGGGTGACGCAGAGAAGGTTGGGAACATCGTTATCAGCCTAACTCTGGCGTGCGTCCTGTCACCTGGACTCATTCTGTCAGGCAGACAGAGATGGCTTACTCTGATGTGTGCTTCTAATGTCTTCGTCATAAGTCTCGAGTAGCTGTAACTTATCCTTTTTTATGTAAAACGATCAGACTGCTCAGACTGGGTAAATCCCTAATGGCTGTAATAACCACTGTTGTTTGAACGGATTCATTTCTAGAATATCTCTGATATGTGGGCCATGGTTAAACTAATGACAGAGGTCTTGCTGGTTCCTGCAAGCGATGCATTGAAAGTCCGGACCAACATGGAGGTGCGCATGGAGTTTGTAAGGCAGGCTCTGCGGTACCTAGAACAAAGGTAAGGCAAACATAATGGAGAAAAGCATCCTTAATTACATACAGCAACAACTTTCCTGTGGCTCCACTGGTATTCTCTAAATAGATACATGCACACACTGAAGATTAGTGAATAAATCAGAAGAACCTAATTCCCCATCAGAGAGCAGCCACTGGGGTAGAGAACTATTCCAGTTTTGAAAAAATTCTTGAGTCCATTGGGAGACTGTTTTGAAGACACAACCACTCTTTATTATTCCTTCCCTGTCACTCTTTACGTACTTGCAGAGGTGGCAAACAGGTGCTGGACATAATACAACTAATTGAAATAGATAAATTATCCCTGCCTACAAAAAAAAAATAGTCTCCCTCTTCCTCATTCCCTTCGGGATGCTAATGACATGGAGATACTAGAAACTAGGGCTGGGTGAAAGCAGTGAGCATGCTTTGCTGAAAAGTTGTGTAAATACAGTCCTCCTTCCTTTTCATGCAGTGACCCTGAATATTTTGCTTTTTTTGGTGAAATTACAGGAGACTGCAGTTGGAACGTATGACAAGGACGGAGGGGGTGGAATGCTTTCATAACTCCGTGCCTGTCAGACTGCAAAAGGAGCTAAATGTGGCCTGTTTTTTGTTGTGTGTTCGCAATAGAAGTCCTGCAAAATTTAAGTTTGTCATGAACAAACCCACTAATGCGTTTGTTCCTAATGATTATGAAGCCTGTTGTTTTCCCCCCTGCCTCTCCAAGTTACTATATGAAAACACCGATAAATCAATAGCCAACGTTCTGTCAGTTTGCTTGTAGGGAAGAGAGCCATAGAGAGTACGATGGAATTTAGGCCAGACAGAGATCATCAGTCCCAGCAAATATCAGCAAGAGCTGGGGCACAAACTGTCAGAGCTTGAACAAGGTGTGTGCACGGCTACGTGCACAGAACAACTGCAGCAGCAGGTAGGGTGCCCACAAAGTTAGGATTCAATGCAAGATTCCACTGACTGTGTGTTGAGCATTACAAAATCTGAACTGTTCATTGCATGAGTAGTCACAGAGCTGACTATGAGAGTGTCCTTCGTTCCAACAGCTGCCATCATGACATTAGCTGGAAAGTATGATCGTAGAGAGCAAACAATAGATATAACCTTCTCCAGGTTTGTGTAGGGGTTGCTAAGGCACTGGGGCCTGATACAGTACATTGGGATGAGGTGTTTTCCCCTACCATCATAGCCTCCTTCTGACCACGAACAGTTGGGTGCCATGCCTCATCAGTACGCTGTCGCTCATTATCACTCATGGGCTTCATGGCAGCATGCCCATCTGTTTCCAGATGAATTGACCCATCAGAAGAATCCTCTGCTGCAAATTCTTCAGCATTAGCAATGCACAACAGGCCAATTCGGGTCTTAACCCAATTTGCTGAGTATCCAGCTTGGTAAATGATCACAACCACATTTTTTTCTTGCACGGTTTTTGAAATGAGGCCTTTCAGGCTTACTATTTTTAAAGCCCAACTAACATGCTTCGCAGCATTAATTTTTATTTGCCATGAATTGGCCTACTGGCAAAGCAGACCCTTATGAGAGTGAACTTTCCCTACTGGAGTCGTCACGCCCTACCACCCCTTCAGGTATGCCTTGGGTAAATTGAAGTCACTCACAGCTGGCCTTGTGTCAGGTCATTTACAGCAGACATCTGTGGTCTTAAACCCTGAGGAACACATACTTAATTCAACCAGAACTCTAGAGTTCTGATACTGTACTATATTTAGCATAGCTTTTCACACATGCAGTTCAGTCTCACATATTAATCTTTTAGCCTAGTTTTCTGTAGCATGCACACTAGGTAGAAGGCTGTTGAATTTCATTAGTTCATTACTGGCTGAAGGAAAAAGCAGGAGCTCATTTGTCCCAGCCATCCATATAGTGTTGCTACAGTTTTTTTAATTCATATTCCGGCCCAGTACATGGAGAGTTTTTTATTAGCTTGCCTTGGTGAATTACTTTCACTTGTAGATAGTGTTCTCAAATCCACTTTCTGTATGTAGAGATTTTGCATCTAAATTCTCTTTTTCCCCTGTGGTTCCCTTACGGTAAGCCGGTGTCTCTGAAGTTTATCATTAAGGCCCTACTTAATTCGCGGTATTGTACAAATTGCAGATCTCGCAATATTAAGCTTCCCTCGCAGTTTTTATTTTAATTAGCTTGCTTTGCACAGTCCACAATTTTGCATACATTTTGGGGTTTGCAACACACTTTTCCCTGCAGGAGTCCACTAGAACCCCATTTGTCTGAGCTGACAATGGCGGGGCTCCGACTGTCAGTTCCACGCATTAGTGGATGTAATATAGTTGCAGCAAAATGTCTGGTTATCAAAAAAAAACCCCATAACATAATACTTGAGTGTTTATATTGTTCCAGCAAATGTTTCTTAAACAAATAGGTTTTCTCTGGCTTTTCCAAAATACCGCAATTAATAAAGGTCCATTATTACTTTTCCACAATTTTTTCACGTCTTGTCTGCAACTCACAATTATTTGACAAGCGTCCCGCAATTCAAGTAGGGTCTTACTGATCGTTTCTCCATCACAGACATGGCGAGAGCATGCATGTGGCATTTTAAATGTCATTTTGTCCTTGTTAGCATCGTTAGATGGAAATGTTTTTTGCTAGCATGAGTTGAGCTGCAGTGCACTGTGAACGTACAGTTTCTCAAATGATTTCCATGTACAAACACCTGCACGAAGGGACACAACTCCATGGATCATGTTGCCCCCACGATAGTGTTTGCACTTCATAGTAATTCACTCAAGGATAGATGGTTCTTTTGAACAGGAAAAGTCATGGGCTTTTTGCAGGGCTTGTATTTCACTTTTGTTAAAATGCTTTCTTACAGTTACAAGGATTATACTTTGGTGACAGTATTTGGAAACTTGCACCAGGCTCAGTTGGGTGGAGTACCTGGGACCTACCAACTAGTCTGCAGTTTCCTTAATATCAAACTCCCAGCACCTGTCCCCGGTCTCCAGGTATGTGCAGTACCGTTACTGATACAGCCAATGTGCTATTGCACACTTCTTCACACTAGTGTAGGCAAGAGGCCAGTGTAACCCCCTGATGATTTTATTTTATTTAGATTGCATTAGGCAGTGCTCTCTTTCCTTCCCCCCACCCTTGAATAACCGTAAAGGTTCATTGGTAAAATGGAGTATAGTAGATGGAAATCACTTGACTGTTTAGAAACGGTTACAAAATGGTGATTTTCTATATTTAAGCCTTAGAATTATGCATGTTAGAATTTTCTCTTAAAAGAGCATTGAGATATATTCAGCTGTTTAAAAACGACAGCTGTATGATTTTTCTATCTTAAAGGGCTAAATTTAAACATCTAAAAAGCAGCTTTCTTTTTCTGCTGCAGATTGCAGGTGCAAGTAATTTTGGGCACGACTTTGCACCCATAATGCTGTGCTGGCACCAGTTGCTGCCATTGAGATGTCTAACTACTGAAGCACAGGCAGAAATCAAGTGTTCGGCAGTCGAATCCAAACCAGCTCCGCCCGCCCATCCCCATCAGTGCAAAGTTGTGCCAACCATTACATGAACCACAAAATTGTAGGTGCAAATAGGGAGGATGAAAGATTTGTGAATAGAGACAATTAGAAACAAAATAGTTGAAATTCAGCTCCTCCTTTGCTGTCTTGCTGAGACCCACATTTAATGGGTTTTTTCCCTTGGTAACAGCATCACGAATACTTTATGGCCTAATCCAGACAAAGCCCTTTGTAACAACTTCCATTGACTTAATTGGGCTTTGGATAAGCCCCTGAATGGAGAGCAGAAAATGTAATTCCCTCTTCTGTTATCAGTGCTAGAGAATAGCCTCAATTTTTGCAACTGGAACTTGCTTTTTTGCAGCTGACAAGTTTCTGAGATCACCTTTTAAATAAAATCTGAATAACTGACAATAATTGGAAAGGTTTCAAAGTAGCAGCCATGTTAATCTGTATCTGCAAAAAGAAAAGGAGTGCTTGTTAGTCTCTAAGGTGCCAAAAGTACTCCTTTTTTAATAATTGGAAAGGGGGATCTCTTTACAGAATTACCTCCTATTGAAGTAATAGTCCGTGAACCCTTTCTTCTACTTATGGCTTCCATACGTTAAAGCTTTGTATCTGTTTGAAGTTGGAATTCATTTTAGCGTTTTTGTTTTGTCCCTGCCCGTAGCTGGGTGTATCTTCTCCCCAGCCATGTCCCCTTCTGAGCAAGGAGAATGAACCTCAGTGCTCCAAATAATCCAGTAGAAGTAAAAGAATATGGCTAGTGGGTGATTCGTAGGAGCTCAGAGAGAGACTCACGATGGCTGCTAGCAGCATGAAATTATTTATAGGTATATGGATGAACAAATAGCTTAGCACTTCACTTATTATAGTCAATAAAAATATTTATTCTTTCCATCACCAAGCCCTTCAGCGCTTTTGTGCCTGTTCTCTTAACCGAATCACAGGGGCTCAAGGATGTGGTGATCTTAACTGCGGAGTATTTCTGTAGAAAGGTACAAAAAAAGCAATTCAATAGAGCATTTGAACCTGCTGTTCTGTACCTACTGGCTCGCTTCTGTGCAGTGGGAAGATTCTGAATGGCTCTCTTTCCTGTGAGAGAGAGACGGTGGGTGAGGTAATGTCTTTTGTTGGACCAGCTTCTGTTGGTGAGAGAGACAAGCTTGGTCCAATAAAAGATACGGCCTCACCCGCCTTGTCTTTCTAATACCCTGGGGCTGACACGGCTCTAATAATTCTGTTTCCTGCTGGAAGATAGATGAGGCCTGGCCAGTTCCAGGCCTAGAAGTGCCAAAATAAATAGTGAGCAAAGAGAGTAGATCTGTATCCAGAACACTGTTACTGATTCTAATCCACTCCTGTTCCCTTCCTGTTGATTCCCTCTGTCACCGTGATGTCATGCAGCTAGAAGGCATAAAGAGTCCCTTGCTTCACAGCCCTGGAGAGTGCACACAGGAATGTGCTAACAGCGGACTGCCCAATCGTCCTCTTATGCTCGTCCCATTGGGACTAAGCATGTCACTACTTATGCGAGTGGGTGCCACAGACCTGGCTGGTTTATGCTTTTTCCCAGCAAAGTGATGAGGTCAGCTCGTATAGATGCTACTAGTATGATTGGAGAGTTCTCATCCAGAGGGGAAAATGCGGGGGAAAGGGAACTAAAAGCAGGATGTTCTTTCATATCCACAGACACGCACAGCTTCCCCAGAACTTAAATCAAGTGGGCCTGATCCTGCATTTTTGTTACACAAATGGAATTCTGCCTGAAGTCAATGGAGAACTGAGTATGAGGGAGAACTTGAGTATTTTGCTGAAACAAAATGAACTAGGTGGTTGGCGCGTATAAAGAAAAATAAATCAAAGTATTGTGCAAGCTGTTCGATTTTAAAAGTCTTCCTTTGTTTCCAGGATGGGGAGGTGGAAGGCCATCCTGTTTGGGCATTGATTTACTATTGCATGCGCTGTGGAGATTTAATCGCCGCTTTGCATGTGGTGAATCGGGCGCAGCATCAGCTGGGCGAGTTTAAAACCTGGTTCCAGGAGTATATGCACAGTAAAGATAAAAGGTATTGTGACCTGGGAAAAATCTATGTGCCGTGAAAAATCGCTGTGGAATAAGGTTAATGCTTTGGGAGGAAAATGAAACCCTGAGGTCTCTTCTTGTGAAAATGGCTGGCTAATATGTGCATTGCCTATTTAATTTACACATAAGTTTTCACATTTTTAATTCATGGCTTTGAAGTCTAGAAACCTCCACCGAGAGAGAGAGATTAGAAAACATGCAGGAATTTACACTTCAAAACTAATTTACTAGTGTTAGCTTCAATTTTTTAATGTATGATCCATTTTCTAGATCAGGGTAGAATATTGGACTTGATAGATCAAAGATCTGATCTGCTATCTTAAACCCTATATTTTACTCTTTGCTGTGACTGTTTTCATAGAATCATAGAATCATAGAATATAAGGGTTGGAAGGGACCCCAGAAGGTCATCTAGTCCAACCCCCCTGCTCAAAGCAGGACCAATTCCCAGTTAAATCATCCCAGCCAGGGCTTTGTCAAGCCTGACCTTAAAAACCTCTAAGGAAGGAGATTCTACCACCTCCCTAGGTAACGCATTCCAGTGTTTCACCACCCTCATAGTGAAAAAGTTTTTCCTAATATCCAATCTAAACCTCCCCCACTGCAGCTTGAGACCATTACTCCTCGTTCTGTCATCTGCTACCATTGAGAACAGTCTAGAGCCATCCTCTTTGGAACCCCCTTTCAGGTAGTTGAAAACAGCTATCAAATCCCCCCCTCATTCTTCTCTTCTGCAGGCTAAACAATCCCAGCTCCCTCAGCCTCTCCTCATAACTCATATGTTCCAGACCCCTAATCATTTTTTTGCCCTTCGCTGGACTCTCTCCAATTTATCCACATCCTTCTTGAAGTGTGGGGCCCAAAACTGGACACAGTACTCCAGATGAGGCCTCACCAATGTCGAATAGAGGGGAACGATCACGTCCCTCGATCTGCTCGCTATGCCCCTACTTATACATCCCAAAATGCCATTGGCCTTCTTGGCAACAAGGGCACACTGCTGACTCATATCCAGCTTCTCGTCCACTGTCACCCCTAGGTCCTTTTCCGCAGAACTGCTGCCTAGCCATTCGGTCCCTAGTCTGTAGCTGTGCATTGGGTTCTTCCGTCCTAAGTGCAGGACCCTGCACTTATCCTTATTGAACCTCATCAGATTTCTTTTGGCCCAATCCTCCAATTTGTCTAGGTCCCTCTGTATCCTATCCCTCCCCTCCAGCGTATCTACCACTCCTCCCAGTTTAGTATCATCCGCAAATTTGCTGAGAGTGCAATCCACACCATCCTCCAGATCATTTATGAAGATATTGAACAAAACCGGCCCCAGGACCGACCCTTGGGGCACACCACTTGATACCGGCTGCCAACTAGACATGGAGCCATTGATCACTACCCGTTGAGCCCGACAATCTAGCCAGCTTTCTACCCACCTTGTAGTGCATTCATCCAGCCCATACTTCCTTAACTTGCTGACAAGAATACTGTGGGAGACCGTGTCAAAAGCTTTGCTAATTTTTCACACGACTAGCCATGCAGCAAAGGAAACTGGTATTTTTTTACAGGATGAACTGGGCCTTGTAAAGGGATTCAAGCCTCAGCTCTGACTATGCCTGTTCTCCCTCTCATATACCCCCTCCCTCATCACTTCACAGAGTGCAGGTGACTTAGAGCTAGTCCTGCTGGAATTTGTGAGAACTAATCTGTTCTCTGTGAGCCCAGAAGAGCTGGTTAGAGTGACCCTGTGTTGGGCTGCTGTCCAGGACCTGGGGAATTGAGAGCATTCCCAGGCAGAGGTCAGCATCACCGCTGGGACTTGAGCCCCTTAGGGTCTGTCTACACTGCAACTAGACACCCACCGGTGGGCCGTGCCAGCCGACTTGGGCTTGCAGGGCTGGGGCTGCGGGGCTGTTTCATTGCAGTGTAGACTTCCGGGGTTGGGCTGGAGTCTGAGCTCTAGGACCCTCCCACCTTGCAGGGTTCCAGCCAGAGTCCAAACATCTACACCACAATTTCATAGCCCCATGAGCCCAAGTCAGCTGGCCCGGGTCAGCTGTGGGTCTCTTATTGCAGTGTAGACATAGCCTCTGTATCTCACTCCCCCTTATGACAGAATTATTAAGACAAATTAAGGCCCCAGTCCTGCAAATGCATTGAGCCCAATGGGACTAGTTGTGTGTGTAAAATTACTCAAGTGCATACGTTCTTGCAGGATCAAGGTCTAAAAGAATAAATATGAAAAATGCTACAACTGCCATTAGTCAAGTTTTCTATTTGTTTCTTGCCTAATGTAGATTGATTCATAGACGAACCTGAGTCTCATAAAATCTGAAACAGTGCACGTTATAGCATTACTGTTCCAGAAACCTTGGTGACGACTCTATCATTGTTTCTATTACAAACATTTTAATATTATATGTTATGTTTGATTTTTTCTGACTTTATTACAGCTATAAAAATGTGCTCTGGCTACAGACTTGACAAACGAGAGCGCATTTCATTTTCATTGCTTTGACTCTGTTAGGTTTTTCTCCAAGGAAAACACATCCTAGAACGCATTGTGGTAATATTTAATGATAAAGATGAAACAGTGCCCCCATAAAGGGCTCGATACAACAAATTCTTACTTGCTTGAGTAATGTTTACTCATCCAAGTATTCACATTGACCTGTGTGACTGATGATTACTTAAGTGAGAAAGGTGATGTAGCCTCAGGCCCAAATAGTTGATACCCATGTAACGCAATATAAACACATTCTTAAAACTGCTCCTTCTAATTTTCCATTTTGGTGTTTTTTCAAAAGTCTTTCCATTCATTTAATGTGTGTGTGTGTGTGTGTGTGTGTGTATATGTGTGTGTTAGCTAATTTAAAGGGGAGAAAAATGCTTTTTACATGTTATGTAAGTGACATTAGTATTACTAAGGCTGCAGGTTTCTGTTCATAGAATATCAGGGTTGGAAGGGACCTCAGGAGGTCATCTAGTCCAGCCCCCTGCTCAAAGCAGTACCAATCCCCAATTTTTGCCTCAGATCCCTAAATGGCCCCCTCAAGGATTGAACTCACAACCCTTGCCATGGTGGTGAAAGTCAGATACTATGACTTCTCTGTTGCCGTAACTTCTGCATGGGAATGCTCTGTGTGGGTCATCCCACTGGCCCCGCCCTCACGCCACAGAGTCGGCTTCTGTGTCCTGTTGTCTCCCCACTCTGGGTGTTGCAAGCTGCTGTATGGGGTCACAGCACCACTCAGGTTTGGCTCTGCCACCCCTCATTGGATGAAGTGAGCTGTAGCTCACGAAAGCTTATGCTCAAATAAATTGGTTAGTCTCTAAGATGCCACAAGTCCTCCTTTTCTTCTTGCAATGTGTGTTTCCCAAACAGATATTTACTTGCATTTCACTTGTCCCTGTGAACCTGTACCCTGCACGTGTTTATCTGTTTCAAAGTGTTCTAACAGGGAGAAGGTTGGAATTTGTAGGTGTTCCAAGACTTCTTGTATAATCATTTGGTATTATTTTTTAGATTGTCCCCTACCACGGAAAACAAGCTTCGCCTCCATTACAGACGAGCCCTGAGGAACAATACAGACCCTTACAAAAGAGCTGTTTATTGTATCATAGGCCGGTGTGACATCGCTGATAACCAGAGTGAAGTTGCTGACAAAACAGAAGATTATCTTTGGCTAAAGGTAAGTGTGATTTCAATACTAGGATTCAATAGGCCACATCCTCTCAGCATTGGTCCATTGACTTCAGCAATCTTCACTGAGGCTCGTGTACTTATAGCTATTGGAAGGTGAGGAAGGATGGCTCTTCCTCCAGCATTACACACAGTTATTCTGCCTCCCAGTACATTCCAATCTTAAGTCTTTCTGCTGCATTAAAATGACATGGTTTACGGCAGTTGTGGTGGCAAAATGGTGACAGAAACCTGTCCCAACTCCAGTCTGTCATTTCCCATGCCACCAGAGCTGACATTAGTGTGAAGGCTGCTTACTTATCCTCTGCAGAAAGAGAGTGGCTCTCCTCACTCAACAGCAATTCCCTTCAGCTGATTAAGGAGCATAACTAACTTGTTGCAAAGAGAGTCCTTTACAGTTCATCCTTCCTGGATAGATCTTGGCTGAAATGTTGGCCTGGGAGTTGAGAGAAGAAGAAAATGTGAATAACTCTCTGCAGTGTTGGGGGTTCCACGGAGGGAATATGGGTAAATATTGGTCGTTAGGGTATTTTCTCCTCCTACATGGAAGCCAAGGAATTAGAATAGCGAGTTTGCCTTGTAAATGCAAAATGTTGTCATTATTATTGGTGGCTTGTGCCCCATGGATTTCATTTGATTGCATGCACAACTGTGAAGAAATCGTTAGGTGTGTCGAAATAGAATTCTGTTATTCTTCTTTCTCGTCTCTTCGTGCTCCAGCAGTTGATTTAATGTAGGTCCAGTGTCTGACTGCAAGTGGCTGCTAGTCCATTGGCCAGCTCCTGGAAGAGCACTTTTCAGTTGCCTCCATCATGCAGGAGACAGTTACTTAAAGGTCCGTGTTTCCCCTTTTTTGTATTTAGCTGAACCAGGTGTGTTTTGAGGATGATGGTACCAGCTCCCCCCAGGACAGGTTAACGTTATCGCAGTTCCAGAAACAACTACTTGAAGACTATGGTAAGGGAGCTTTTGTGGGACTGACTCTTTGGCTGGGGTTCAACCTCTCTGCTTAAAGTACTTTCTACTTCTTATGTAAACTCTAAAATCCACTTAGACCCTTCAGCTCCCCAGTTGCTTACTTCTGAGTCTCTGAGAGCCCTCAAATACAGCGAGTCCCTGAGAGGACTGGCAGATTTCATAAGAACTGCTGAATGGGTCATATGCCTTGTCATCAGTCCAGGTAAGTAACACCCATACGCTGTCCAGAGCAGGAGTCCCATGTGTTGTGTCCGTTCCAAATTGCAGATCGTTTTCTCTCTTCCCGGGTCTGCTAAACTCTTCTAGTAGAGCTGCCAGTTGTTGGAATCAAGGGAAGAAAATGGAGTCTCTCTCGATCGCAGGAATGTCTTTCTTTCCAACATTTGTCTGAACACTTGAACCCCTGAGTTACTGCCTGTAGATGACCCTACCAAGTCACTCACTGAAGACTCAAACAAGTGAATATGGCAGGAGCTTGGCCGTATAAATCGTGGTCATTTCCACTTCGGAGGTTTGGGGAGTGGGCGAGCGGTGAGGTGAGAGTGTCTAGTTCCTCCCCCGGATGCCTGTATTCAAAAATCATCTGGTCAATCTGACTGCTGAAAAAATACCGGGCTTGATTCTCCACTGCCCTGTAGTTTTATCGTTTATACGCTCGTACAGTGAGTGCAGAGAGAGTGTAAACAGGTACCAGTGCTGCGAGTGGGTCGAGAATTCTGATTTGGTGGTGTTTTGCACTTGCTTTGCACAGGGGTAAATGTGGACACAAGGTTCAGGACAGTGGAGAATCTGTCTGAATTGAGGCATCTTTGTCAGGAGGGAGAAGAGGGACTCCTTTCATGATGAGTAACTGTGTTCCCTTCTGCTGCTGCAACCGTTCATGATGTACATGCAATAGGGCAATTATAGATAAGCCAGAGATGTGTGATTAGATATTCTGTTTTGTCTTGTGTGTTTATTTCCACGTGGAGTGAGTAAGCGATGGTGATGTACGGTGACAGAAAGCACCTACTGTCACAGATCGCAGTTGCAAAATCATCTTCACTTACACGGGTATATTTCTTTCCTCAGGCGAATCGCATTTTGCAGTGAATCAGCAGCCTCTTCTCTACTTCCAAGTATTGTTCTTGACAGCACAGTTTGAAGCTGCAATTGCTTTTCTCTTCCGGATGGAGCGCTTGCGTTGTCATGCTGTTCACATTGCTTTGGTCCTCTTTGAGTTAAAGCTGCTCCTGAAATCTTCTGGGCAGAGCGCACAGCTGTGTAAGTCCTGCATGCTTCCCACTACCATTCAGCCCTGGCCTTTAACCCTGGAGAGACTGCAGGTGGACATATCCATCCTAACCCATCATTTGAACCAACAGTGAAACATGCCAGCGTTCCCTAAGGGTTAACCATGTGGGTCTGTTTAGATATTCACAGAGTGAGTGAGTGTCTTGGATGAAACACTGCTTTGATCTTTTGGTTAATGTAGGATGGTGCCAAAATGTCTGATGCTAAGAAATCTTGTTTTGGTCCATGTTATTTCCAATGTCACAGTAAGTCATGAAGCTGGCGACCCTCCCGGCATGAGGCGCCTTAATTTCGTTCGCCTTTTGATGCTCTACACCCGTAAATTTGAGTCAACGGACCCAAGGGAAGCTCTGCAGTATTTTTACTTTCTCAGGTAGGAGCCTGGGTCTAAAATTCAGTGGCACAGTTATATTATGTTAGCAATAACCATAGACTGTCTGTGAAACACACATTTTGTTTCTTTTGTTTTGTTTGTATTTTGCAGGAACGAGAAGGATAGCCAAGGAGAGAACATGTTCTTGCGTTGTGTTAGTGAGCTAGTAATCGAAAGTAGAGAGGTATGTTTGGGTAACCGTTTTCTTCACTTAAAGTGCAATTCACCCCTTTATAGAAGGCCAATTCAAGGCCTTGTGCTCTACTTAAGCCAAATTGGCCTGAGACATTTAATTTCTCTCCTGGTCTGTTTCTCTCCCATTGCATGGATCAAGAGAGAACTGATCTATTTCTCAGAAAGGCCGTATGACCATATGTCTGGTGTCAGTTTAATACAGCACCAGAGGTGTTTGCATTTTTATGTATTTATTTTAAATAAAAATCTTGGCTTCACTGAGTGCTGTTTGTGGTATACTCAGGACTGCAACTTTAGGCTGCTACCAAGTGTGTTGCCATAGGTGTGCAGTTAATTTCCTTTCTTTCTTATTTTTTTGTGTGCCTGTAGTTTGATATGATTCTGGGGAAGCTGGAGAATGATGGCAGTAGGAAGGTGAGTTGAGAGCATTTTGTGTCTATATATGATATGATATGTATCTCATTCTCTGGGCGTGGATGGATGTGTGTGCATGCACACAAGATGATTTTCCAGTTATTCTCGAGTCAATTTCTGGCTTTTCTGCATTTTTTCACAGCTAAGGTAATACCATGGTTACATGCAGACTATTGCTGCAAGCACAAAGTCATTGTGAGCTGCGTAATTGTGAAGGGGTGATGGTTGGCAAGGAGGAAGGCAAATTACAAGGGGTCTAGAATGAAAAGAGGATATAATTAAAGTATATATCTAAAGAGACAAAAGGCATAGTGTGAAATCCTGGCTCTATTGAATTCGGTGGCAAAATTCTCAACTGACTTCAGTGAGGCCAGGATTTCATCTGTTCTGTAATCAACAGCCAAGATTTTGGCGTTGGATTTAGGTTTTGGGTTAAAGAAGGCTTCTATAATAAACCAGTAGCTGAACCCATAAATAGCCTGTGAAAAATTTTTTTCTTCTGTTGTTAATGTGGAATATATATATACTCATTCGCTTTAAAGGAGAAATGTGTTGCATCCCCTTACAAATCCTTATGATTAAAGAAATGAGGGCTAACATACCAAAGGCATAGCACAAGTAAGTGATCCTGTCTCTCCATACAAATGAAGATGAATATCTGATCAAAGAATCAGTCGTCTTAACTGAGTGATGAATCTTGCTGCTGCTGCAAAAAACAAAAAACCCCCAAACAACTAAAATGTGTGCACACACCTAGGGTAGGAGAAAACTTGAGCTTCGTTTTTTAAACTGTATACAGTTCTGGAAAATGAATAAAAAGTTTCTGTTCAATGAAGCCCCATTTTTCTTTGTGCTCCTTAGTTTGGAGCATAAACCTAATTCCCTAACATGTTCAGATCTCAATAATCTTGCCTGATGTTTTATACTTACAAGTGTCAAAAAGTACTTTTGATTTCTGACAGAATTTTTCTTTGGACATTTCTCCCCTGTCGGCTTTTATCCCTTTTTAGGCTAAAAGCATCAAGCATAGGTTGCCCTATTTTCTTTTATGCAATGATCTTTTATTTTCTTAGGTTGCCCTATTTTCTTTTATGCAATGATTTTGATAGCTGCTTTCAACTACCTGAAAGGGGGTTCCAAAGAGGATGGCTCTAGACTGTTCTCAATGGTAGCAGATGACAGAACGAGGAGTAATGGTCTCAAGTTGCAGTGGGGGAGGTTTAGATTGGATATTAGGAAAAACTTTTTCACTAAGAGGGTGGTGAAACACTGGAATGCATTACCTAGGGAGGTGGTAGAATCTCCTTCCTTAGAGGTTTTTAAGGTCAGGCTTGACAAAGCCCTGGCTGGGATGATTTAACTGGGAATTGGTCCTGCTTCGAGCAGGGGGTTGGACTAGATGACCTTCTGGGGTCCCTTCCAACCCTGATATTCTATGATTCTATGATCTTTCCCTGTGTTTTTCCTTTTTATATTTCTGTGTGTGGTATATTTAGAGAGAGAGGTTTCAGGTTATCTTTAATGATTATTCCTGTTTTCTTGCTTTTACTTGATTCCTTTCAAATGTAACTGTTTGTTTGTTTGTTTGTTTATGAAGACGGTGAGACCAGAATTCAGAACCATTTTTAAAGTAGTGAATCTTTCCAGGAATTTATGTGATCCCATTTTTATACTTCTCCTATGTCCTTCTCAGAAACCTCTGGACATTTTTTTCTCTCCCTTTTATTTTGTACTTTTTCTTTGTGCTAATAACTCTTGCCTTTCGTTTGTCAGCGTAACATTTTTGCAACCTGTCAAACCATATATACAACCTTTCCGAAGCCTCTGAAGTGTTATATGCCCAAGTCTTTTGTGTTTCACTGTTCTCCCTGGTGATGTCTTCAGCAAATTAAAATAATTTAGAATTTGACCTATTATGTGGGTCATTTTGAATAAATTAGAAACAGCTGATATCTCAGTGCTCACTCCCCAGTTGGAGAACTCTTCTCTTACAAGAGCTCTTTCTATTTTTAATGTGGCCTTCTTATTTGTTGTTATAGAAATGTACAGTCCATTCTGACCACAATCTGACATGTATACTATTCATTGCCTTGACAGAATATTCCAGGAATTTAAAAACTGTCTGTCTGATTTCAAATGCTTTTTCCCCCTCTTCCTCCCCTTTTGTCTTGTCTCATCAGCCAGGAGTGATAGACAAGTTTACTAGTGACACAAAACCTATTATTAACAAAGTTGCTTCAGCGGCAGAAAATAAAGGATTATTTGAAGAAGCTGCAAAACTTTACGACCTTGCAAAGGTAAATGTGTTCTCATAGCTGCCATCCATATCTACCTATTTCATCTTATTTTAAAACACATCAACATTGATTTGAAGGTTATTTTAATCTCAGAACGTGAACTGTCTTGACAATATTAAGCCCAAATCTTGCTCATCTCATTCTATAGCTCTTCCATTGGCTTTACTGAGGTGACTCGAAAGTAAAGCAAAGAGGACTTGGATCTTAGCATCCAACCCATACTGGGATTTAGCTATATGGTCCTTAAGCAGTCTAGGTTCCTGATCAATGTACAATCCACTTTTCGAATAATTGTTTCCATGAGCAAGATTGTTCTAGCCAGCAAAGCAATTTACCCAGTGTGTGTTCTTCATATTTAATTGAAATAGCATTTGGAAACAAGGCTAAAACAATAGGGCCTTTATTGCAGTAGGTACACTTACTTTGCTGTTGAAATCTATCTGAAGTCAAAGAGAATGGTGCGGTGGCCAGCTGTTTAATAGGGAATGGAATGCCACGGGCTTTTCTAATTTTCTGGTATAACAGATGGCTATCTAACCGGTAATAATGGAGTGCCCAATCTCTGCTCTCAGTGGGGAGACACTCAGCACCCACAGAATCAGGACTTTTTACATTTTCTTCACAAGGTGCGAGAGCCAGGTTCTGTAACATTGCTTTTTCTTTCACGTCTTTTTATTTAACAGAATCCAGATAAGGTATTAGAACTGATTAATAAATTACTCAGTCCTGTGGTTCCACAGATCAGCACTCCCCAGTCTAACAAAGAGAGGCTGAAGAATATGGCACATTCCATTGCAGCGAGGTAAGACTGGGAGTTGGATGTCTAAGACTGCAAAGTGACTAGAGTGTACCTGACCATTCCAGTTCAGGTTTCTACACCTCTGACAGTCAATACACTGGGGATTTTCTTAACCTTGCTCATGCTGGCTTGAGCAGTATCCTTATTGATGATTTCAATGGAGAAGGGGCAGAACTTGCCCTGCCCTGCTTTTAATTACTGTATATTACACAAATAGAAAATGTAATCTCGTGTTCCTGGTCAGATGAATGTGACAGAAGCAAGATACATTCTCCTTGGTCAAATTAGAAAAGGAGACTTGCAATATCACTGGAAAGAAGGAGGGTGGTGGGGAGAGAGAGAGAATCTAGACAGCAATAAGTATAATTAGTTGTACATTTTAGAAAGAGAATTTTTAATGAAATTTCCCTAGGCAAATTAGTGAGTAATGATTGTTAGTTAGTAGTAGTGCAACCCACTAACTTAAAGTTTGAATTAAGAATAAGCTTTAATAACTGGGGCTGTTTTGAGAGAATTGGAGACCGGATGGAAGTGTTGGAGGTTAGCATCCTGAAAACTTGGTTTTCCAAGAACCAGGTTTGTTTCATTGCTGTTTTAAGAAGATAGCATTGAATTAAAAAGGCAACAGATTTAAACTCAAAATGGATAAGGCTGTTTTACAGAAGATGAAGTGAACCAGTCCTGCCACAAAATGTTATTGAGATAAAGCGCATTATAGGAATCCAAAAAGGAAGATGTTTATATGAACAGTAAGATTGTCATTTGCGGTTACAGTACACTAACTGGGATAAACTTTTATAAGGGTCTTCAGCCTTCCTGCGCCACCAACTTTCTGGAGTTAGGAGTAAACTGCTCTCATTGGCATGTTGTTGCAAATAGTCCCATTTTTACATCTTCCTTTGAAACATCTGATGGGGCTGTTGTCAGAGACAGGATACTATACATCATGCTTCTGATGAAGTATGGGAATTCCTGAGTTTCAATAAAGGAAAATCCCGGTGCTTTTAGAAAACTTCTTAATTCTTACCATAGTACCTTCTGCTGTGCAAAAAATAAATAAAATAAACTAAGCAAATCTCCAAGTATTTCTGTCTTTTAAAATGGTGTGTTGAGTTTTAGCCTATCTTTGACTTTCTTTACTGAAAAGTGATATTTTCAGGTCACTGTTTCAATCTATCCTATCTCCTGATAGTGAGGGTTAAAACAAGAGTGAAAATTAGTACTATATTGACTTAATATGATATTCAGCAGCCATCAAGAAGAATGAAGCCGATGGTTAGAATTTATGATATAACAGAATCTACAATAGCACTTTAATAGCTTGTTTCAGTCTCCATGAGGGGGACTTCTAAACATGACTGTTCTATAGTACTGCTTTACAGCCACACCATCAATGGCTAGGTCAGCCACTTCTGCTTTTTCTCTCCACCTTGTGCTTCCTAATGTTCAGGACACTTGACTAGGCCATGGGTTTCTTTTTCCCATTTAATTATTGTATAGGGCTTTTCTTCAGCTTATGTATTGTGGACAATGTTTTAGTGACACAAGCAGCACTTGAGCCAGTGATCACCTTCTTGCACCATTTCGCAGAAACAGAGGACATGCCATCTACACAGTAGACCAAATGTCCATCTAGTTTGGTATTCTGTCCCCAGCAGTGGCTAATACAAGATGCATCAGAGGACAGATGGTTAAAAGTCTGTATAATGCACTTGACCAACTGCACTGTACTACTGGAGTGGGGAAGAGAGCCAGACCCTGTTGGCAATCTGTTCAGACTATAAAGAATGAGGATTGGTAGCTTTTGTATTTCTGTTCTAAGTAGTATAGCTAGAAATAATATTCCTAAGTGTCTAACCCTTTTTTAAGTCCTACTAAGGTATTTGCCTGAATATCCCAAGGCAGCAAGTTTCACAGGTAACTATGCTGTATAAGCAGTATTTTAGAGATGCTTAGACAACACCTGCCCATCAGATAAATAGGATTCCAGTTTCCGTAGCCAGTTGTCACTTGCATATGGAAACATTAGCAATGTAAATGTAAATAAACATTTTATTTGTGAGTAAGAATTAAGAGTGGGAGGAATAATTAAAGTGAGCCAAAGAGAAAGCCGCCAGAAACTCTGTTACGGTTAAGAGAAATGAAAGCTGCCTTTTTGTTGTTAGATGCCTCTGTCTTTTTGCTTCAAGCCTGAACTTCCAAGGAATTGCAAGTTAGGGACTCCTGTCTATAAGTGGATGCTGTTTTGCACAGTAAAATTATAAACACTTTTTTTTTCTTTCAGATATAAAGCTCAAGGGATAAGTACAAAGAAATCCATTGACTCCACATTCTACCTTCTGTTAGACTTGATCACATTTTTTGATGAATATCATGCCGGCCACCTTGACAGGGCCTTTGATGTAAGTTCCATTTGAAGTACAAGACTTACCGATGCCCTTGCAAACTCAAAGCATTTCATGTAACACGACTTAAAACAATAAAAAGGTGTCATGGGATCTTACACTGAATGAGTTAAAAGGTGCAGTGATGATACAGGAGTTTAAAAAGTGTATTTCTTTCCTGTAATCTGATCAGGAAGATTTTTTTCTTGAGACAGTTTGTAGCCCCCGACCAAAATGTTCATGCTACATCAATGAATGGGTAAGTGGTAAAATGCTGTCAAATAGCATTATCGGGTACAATTCAGTTACGTAATGGGGTTCTTTGCAAACAGGTTTGTAATTTTGAATGTTACTTAGCATATGGTAGAGAGAAATTACGTTTAAAATCTACTCTTATTCCTGCTCTCCTTTTTGCAGATTATTGAACATCTAAAGCTCGTGCCCCTGAGCCAAGACTGTGTGGAAGAGAGGGTGGCTGCCTTCAGAAATTTCAGCGATGAAGTAAGCAACACCTTGTGCCCTCAACCTTTTGCTACTTATGCTATTTATGTGGAAGAGCCCTTTAGTTTTGCCGTTTTATAGTTTGTAACTGGAAATATTATTGATCAGGCCCAGATTAATTCCATATTCTAGTATTTGATCGCAAAGTTTTCCATTACACCACTTGGGCTCCTTTGTGCAGCATTAAGATCAGGCACTAGAAATCTCAGAACTTCGTATCCATTTTGTGGAACAGGATCTGTTTGGAATCTTCCACACCGTGTTTTATGAGTTCTAGAAAATTTATTTGAAAAGTTTCAACGTTTGTATTGAATTGGGCCCTCGATGCTTTCAACAGCCACTCAGCGTGTGAGGGAATGTGGGTTTCTTTCCTTCCAAACTAAAGGAAATTATTACTGGTTTGCAGGCTGCAGCAATTACCCTGGGAGATTGTCCATTGAAATTGACATGCCGGGGCAAAGCCTCCCTAGCACTTACTTTTGAACATTCTATCAAATGTTAGATGTAATCTTAAAATATATTAAAGAGAATTTTTAATAGCATAATCGTTTTTGGCTGCTACGTGAATTTGTAGATGAAAGGCTTGTGAATGAATGAATGACATTTCCCGTCAAGCCTTAGAATTTATTGATTCCTTCCTGACTCATACATGTGGTAGACTGTTGCCCTAAAGTCACTTCCCTGTAATCAAACTGCTTTAGATTCTAACAGGTGCAAATCCAGCTGAAGAGTTTAATATTGTGGGTCTTGACTCTTTTTGCTTGTAAATTCACCCGTCTTCAAAGTACTAGCTGAGGTGGTAAAAGAAGGATTTTCCTACCATTTATTCTATCATGATGGTTAGTGGTAGGATGAAGCATCCTGAGCAGCCTTTACTGTGCTTTCTATCATCTTAGCACAAAAACTAGTATCCAAATGACCACCATGCCCATAGCTAATGCCACAGAATTTTAGGGAAAAAAAACCCCTCACTGTTGCAGCATAAGTGATGGTAGCAGTAGGGGGAATTTTCTAACATTCCATAGCATGGCCCATCTGTAAAGCATCCTCTCTGCCTACCAGTTTCTAACGAAGAACCACAGCCTTTTGACATAAGGGTTAGATCAGAATTTAAAAGAGAAGAGTGTCTGGAGCCATTTGAAAGCAATCTCTTCAGTGTAATACCCGGTTTCGAATACTGAATAGTGGTTGTCTTTGTTGGCCTTTCAAGTCCCCCAGTTCAGTTGATCTCATAACAACATTTTTAAGAAAATGTCTTGCTTGGTATTGTCAGCTTGGAAATGAACACAGGAGTAGGAAACTGACCGAAGGAGTGACAGCCTAATGCTCAGGGACTGTGCCCATGCTGATGGGACAGCATTGCTGTCATCTCTTGACTCTGTTTGGATCAATGAATCATACAGTACTAAGAATGGAAAAGGTACTCTTTTCAGTTTCACTCTTCATGTCCTAGATCGGTAGATCAAGTCTGTAGTGTCTTCATGGAAACCTTGGATATCTGTCCTGTTTAGCAGCAGTTCAGCTGATGTCATCAACTTTTTTCTTCCCTCCGGTTTTATTTCTTTGGATATTTGCCATAAATCAGCGTATTTTGTTTCTTCAGAGTTCATATTCTCCTGCTGCTCATTCCCCACCTGAAGTCACAATCCTCTATTCGTTATGACCCAGTCATCTTCAAATCAAGTTAATTATGAGGTGGCATTTCTCAACACATCCTTCTGTATAAACAACAGATAGTGCTCGGCTTTCTGACCTCTTGTACTAACAGCAATGACTCCATATTGACCTGCTCTTCTTTCCCTTGTGTTCTTTTTTTCTTTGCATAGATCAGACACAATTTATCTGAGGTCCTTCTTGCAACCATGAATATTTTGTTCACGCAATACAAGAGGATGAAAGGCACAAGCCCTGCCACTCCTGCAAGACCCCAGCGTGTAATGGAGGATAGAGATTCGGTAAGGTTATAGTCCTTATCGTCGGTCAGTGATGTTTTCTGAATGCTTTCTTCTTTTGTTTCAAGATTTTGGGTCTCAAATGTATGTAACAATGAACCTCAGGTGGTCACTATCTTAGACTGACTTGTTCTTCACTTACAAGACAGCTTGCTTAGGGTATGTCTACATTCCAGTTAACCCAGGCTCTTAGCTGGGCTTTAGCCTGTGATCCACACACACAAATCTCTGACCGGGTTTGGAGGCACTTTAAGCCTCGGCTACCTGACCTGGCTAGGGACGTGGGTTAGAACCCAAGCACTGCATTGACTGAGGCTTGAGCCTGCCCACTTTGTAGTGAGGATGCAGGCTTAAAAAAAGGGTAAAGACAAAGATTTATGGGGGCTCAACCCTTTAATGTTGGGAAAGAATGTCATTGTAAATCGTACTACCCTAATTTTTAAAATGTAGTTACATCCTGTACCCTCTCTTATCAAGAAAAGTGTGATAAATTTGTCCATTGATGGGATCTTTATTAGCTATTGCCCCATAACTAATGCACTGAATCCAATGATTGATGCAGTGGATTTGACTGTTACACCGTTCACTATTAAGAACCTGACTCTCTCTCCTCCTGTCATTTAGGTTAGTGCTTTGTCCCTGATGTTGCAAAACAGATTTCTAGATCTTGTTTCCATTTTAACCTGAGTGGGGTGGGGTGAGGGGGAGGGATTTAAGGGACCCCACGATCCCAAAACTTCCACACCAAGGAAACATGGAAGGACATTAGGAACATGTAGGAATTCCTCAAGGGCAGCGAAATAAACCTCCAGTATGTGTCACTGCAGGGACAGATTTTAAACTGAACTAGAGAGTTTTCAGTATTACTGGTTACGACTGGGACCAAACCTCAAGTCTTTACGCAGGTAAACCTCCCATGGATAGGCCTGAGTAAGGAGTACAGGAACTTGGCCTTTAATTTAACTGGTTAGGGGGAAAAAAATCAATTCCCCCTTTAGAGTTAATAACAACTCAGGTCGTAGTCAGCTTTATTTCCTGTGTTTATCACATACGAGGCAAATACTATAGCTTGACTTGCACATTTCAGTGTTAGAGAGAACCTTTTCCACAATAGATACATTTAAAAGAGAGTAAAGTTTACATTTTTTAAAAATCAAGGTGATAAAGTACCTTTTTGCTTTGATGTACAGTCTATACTTGTATAGGTTATTTTAACCACAAAACCCAATCTTGCAATAACAATTGTAGCCTAGAGTGGCAGAAGCAAAGAAGGACTTTTAGCAGTTGGGCTGTCACGTCACTTTGAACTTACTCTTATGAGAAGCAATCTCAGAATAATGCAAGATAATACCTGTAATATTATCCCAGAACTGGCCTAAGGGTGGAGGAGAGGCAGCCTTAGCTCCAAAGTCCCTTGCTTTTAAGTTAAGCCCTTTCCTTCTACAGTGTGTTTTGTTCATGTTTCACAGTGTTGTGCCGTATTGTGTAGGTTCTGTTTTCTGCCATCTCCACTGAGGTATAACTCCAGCAAGTCCCATTGCAAGGTGCATGGTTCTTCAGGGATTATAAAACTGATCATTGACAGGATTAGCTGCTAGCTAGCAGGACTTTGCATAATACGAAACTTATGTTTTCCGGAGCCATTATAATGTCAGCTTCTTTGCTGTGAAGGTGTTCAGTGAGCAGCCTGTGCATTCCTATGCTATTGCAGTTGTGGACAGCTGCTGATTATTTTCCTTGTTTAAAAATCCTTTTAACTTTTATATTTCAGGCATGAAAGCTTGTTACCTGGCTTTCTAGCCTAGTTATGGCATCGTAGCTATTTGGTGGTGATCAGAGGCACAACTGGATTTTGGTTTCAGTACCATCCCACTTCTGTGCAACAGGAGCTTACCGTTAGACGTTGCAGTGGGCGGTATGGCTGCTGTGCCCTGTTCAGTGGAGTCACTTGTGGGAGAAGAGGACAGTGGTGCTGATCATAGCTCCACAAGAATGAAGACATCTCCCTCCTGTGGAATTAGTTACATTTGCTGGGGGATGTAAAAAAACCACAAAACTGTGGCCACCATCCTCCCCTTCCTTCTGCAAAGAAGAGCTCAGACCCACAGATCTGACCCCTGGGGCATGGAAGGGGAGGTATTTAATGGCTCTCTAGCGTGCTTCCCTTTCGCCGTACCATGCAGAAACCCCACCGGGGTGGGATGGCTCTGTGGCATTCCAGTTTCACTGTTGTTGGGGTGCTTATTTTTTGGTGGGGGGAGTGGATGAGAGAAGGAAGGGGACTTGCTCCAGCAAAATCTCGCCCACCCAAATCAGCAGGGGAAGTCAACACAAGTTCCTGTAGAGCACTTCCCCCTCTGCAGATTTGGAAAATACAAACCCGCCCCTCCCGGGGAGAGATTCTAGGGAAAGCTCCTGGCAGCCTGGCTCTTGTCAGCATTGTCCAGGGGACTCGGCAAGATGAGGAGAGGCTGGGCAGCAGTGTAGAGTCAAAGGTTATTCAATTGGAGAGAGTCCAGCGAAGGGCAACAAAAATGATTAGGGGTCTGGAACATATGAGTTATGAGGAGAGGCTGAGGGAGCTGGGATTGTTTAGCCTGCAGAAGAGAAGAATGAGGGGGGATTTGATAGCTGTTTTCAACTACCTGAAAGGGGGTTCCAAAGAGGATGGCTCTAGACTGTTCTCAATGGTATCAGATGACAGAACGAGGAGTAATGGTCTCAAGTTGCAGTGGGGGAGGTTTAGATTGGATATTAGGAAAAACTTTTTCACTATGAGGGTGGTGAAACACTGGAATGCGTTACCTAGGGAGGTGGTAGAATCTCCTTCCTTAGAGGTTTTTAAGGTCAGGCTTGACAAAGCCCTGGCTGGGATGATTTAACTGGGAATTGGTCCTGCTTTGAGCAGGGGGTTGGACTAGATGACCTTCTGGGGTCCCTTCCAACCCTTATATTCTATGATTCTATCAGATCTCTAGAGACCTGCAACTGCCTCCTGGAGCCCTTTAGCTTCTTCAGTGGTAGGGGACCCCTCCTCTCTTCGGGAGAACTAATAGGAAATGTCACAAATAGCACTTCTTGCAGTTTCCCATCCCCATTTAGGTTATTCCTACTCAGGGGAGAATGGGACCTTGAGTTAGAAGAACCTAATTCTCTTAATCTCCACTTAAATGTGCCCACTGTTGCCAAATAGGGCCACTAGGGTGACCATCTTGAGCCATATTCCAGTGAAATCAGGGGGAGTTGTATAGGTCCATATAGAGCACACAGCAATGGGGATGTACGCGTGCGCTTTTTCAATCTTCCTGCTTCCATTAAAATAATAAGCATCATCTCTAGCTTTCCTAATGCCAGTTGAAAGCCAAGCTACCTTTTAAAATATTTTTTAAATAGCCAGGTTTTTAAGTAGAGCAATTTTTAGGAATTTATTTAATGATGAAATTAATTGGCATTGTGGATTAAGAAACAAAATCCTATCCAGCCAGACCTGGTCTGTTTGCCAAGTTTCAGTCCGAAACAGATTACAGCAAGCCACATTACGATCTGGGAAAGCATGTTTTTAATGGCAGCGGCAGCTAAACCCTAATTAACACGTCACTGCCATGTAATACACTCACCCAGTGATTTGCTATTAACTCTTTGGGACAGCTGAAGGGCATTCTCCTGGCAGAGGAAGTGAAAAAGCCACAGTGTGTTTTTTATTTGCAGTTTTTTTTTTTTTTCAAGGCACAAGTGAAAGTTGCGTTGTTTTGTTTCGTTGATTTCTTCCTGAATGTTCCTTGAGGAATTACAACCAATGGAACACCTACATCTCTCGGCTTCTTTTAACCTTCTCCGAAAACCTCCACCCCTTACTGATGAGTTACTGCTGGGGTTCAGAATGGCTTTTTAAAAATATGTTGACTTCCATATCATCGCCAATGAAAAGATAAGGGGAACAGTAAATGCACTGACTTTAAAGAGGTTTGCTCAGCATTTATTCCCTGCTCCTCAGCGTTAGTATTAAGCATAGGAATAATCTCTTGCCTTTCTGTACAGCACTTTCATCTCAAAGAATCATCCCGCACTTTTACCAACGTAACCGATTCCATTCTACTCGGTGATCACTTCGCCCACTGCTAATATGCAGCCCACATGTGGGGCAAAATGTGGCTGCCCAGCAACTGTGCCCAACAGCTTAGGGAGAGCGTAAAAGAAAAATGTTGACGGTGGGAGAAAATGCAGGGGTGATTCAGAGTCTGTGTACAGAAAGTTTTCATCTGATTTGGGATTTGGCTAGGTTACAGAGATTAATATCCCCTATCTCACTTGATAATTTTCCTGCCATTGCAGAGGCCTCAGGCATTGGTAGCAACTTTCTCTCTTCTGTCCTCTGCCTGAGGACTGAAATGCCTTAGGGTATGTGTACACCGCAATGTAAACCCAAGGTTAGTGGGACTCAAGTCAGCTGACCCACGTGAGGGAACCCTGGGCTTGAGCATCTACACTGTATTTTAACCCTGTGTTACGAATTTTCTAACTTGTGCTCGAACCTAGGGCTCTGGTGTCCACAATGCAGTGCACAAATCTGAGTCGAAGTAACTCTGTCCCACAGTCTCTAGTGCTCCCCCCTGCCCTCCAAAGTATCGTTGGTCTAGCCCTAGGACCGTGCTGCACTGTGGGGAAAAGTTACTGCCCACCCTGCACGTTACCAGGAAGCAACTCACTTTGCAAAAGGCTTGATGGGTTCTTTCCCCATTGCAAACCCAGGAAGCTCTCTGATAGTGTGCTTGCAAATCGGTGATCAGAACAGAATGGGTTAACGCTGACCTGAGCTGTTATCATGGCTTCCATTTTCAGCAGAATGGATTGCAGATTGTTGGGACAGAGCGGGCTAAGGAAGTTGTCCCATGGAATTGTGGGATATTTCCGGCTCACTCCTGGTGCCTGAGTCAAGTGGGGCTGCATCTATGCTGCAAAGCAGTAGGGCTCAGACCCTGGATCCCGGCTTAACTCGAACTTGGACCCTCCAGCCCTGCAGAGTCTTTGGACCCTGGGTCCGAGCCCTGGGTAGGCACAATTGCAGTGTAGACACAAGGGGAATTAGGCTTGAGCCTGGGCTCAAGCACGGGCTTACGTTTCAGTGTAGACATACCCTCAGTGAAACCCAGGTTACTGGGCTCAACACAGGACTAACTGGGTGAAATTTAATTGCCTCTAATATACAGGAGGTCAGGCTAGATGATCTGATGGTCCCTTCTGGCCTTAAACTCTCTGAAATATATTAAATAACCTACTCTCTCATAAATTGCAATGGGATCTGAGTGACTGCAGATCGTCAGAACCTTGGCTTTGCATCTCCCTTGAGAGGTCACCTCCAGCAATGAATTGCTGCTGCAGTGGTTCAACCCTGACTCGGCGGGAAGAGTGCCCCCTGTTGAATCACCAGCAGCACCGCTTGCAGCACGTTGGTGTTCTTGGAGGCCTCTCATCCAAATCCTTACTCAGCCCAACCTTGCTTACCTTGGGAGGGATGACCAACAGGATTGCAGCCCCGGATCAAAATGTGCTGATGTATTGTAGCTGTGCTGTCTGGTTTTGTGTAGTGCCATACCTTTAGAAAACAGAGCTGAAGTCCCTCTGATCCTCCCTTCCCAGGGGTTTATACACATGTTATTTATATATCACAAGTGGAATAAAATGACGTTTGATCTCCGTATTAAATGAAAATTGTTTAGTATTTTCCTATAATATTATTAATCCAATTTTCCTTACATTTGAGACACTGGATTTATGCATTAGCCAAATGTGGATGCCCTTATTAAATTACATCCAGCCAGGTTCTGTTTCCATTGGCCAAATAACCGGTGTAATATTGTACTGAAAAGGGAGGGTCTTGCCCAGACAGGGTGCCGGGGTGCTGCTGTTACTGACTCCAATAATACAATAGGGTTCAATAACTCTGCGGTTTGTAAATCCCTGTACCCTGATTCATCCTGCCCTTGATTAACCATTGATATGCCCACAACAATCATGGTTGCTTCAACTTCCCAATTCATCCAGCAGACTGAAGAATGATCTTGAGTCTCATTATGTCTCTAAACACAGACTTTTCAGTATAACAATTTAAGGATACTTCATGTTTAGGAGGAAAACCTTACTGCAGGCTAACAAAAAGCCTCAGTTTTCAGCCTCAGATTTATTATGCACAGACTATGGCTAACCTAACCATGTAACCTGAAACATTTTCAAGATCCCGGAGTTGGTTTTTACGCATTTAATTTTTTTAATTCAGGAAATTTAAGAAAAATAGTTTTGGATGCTGCAGCTGCAGCTTGGCCACCTTTGTGCACGTGTCGTATTTTCTGTTACAGTAGAGGGTGTTAACTTTAATTTAATACCTTTATAGGCCTGATTCTCAGTTACGTTCACTGCTGTGGCAGAGCAAAGTCACCTTACAAGGAGTATAACCCACTCTGCCAGTGTGGGTAAGGGCCTTAGTGTAATAGAGAATGAAGACCTAAATGTATGTGTAGTGTGGCTGACTTCCAGGATCAATAAGTTTGTATTTCCTTTCATTTGTGCTTTAAAGTGTCAATTGTCACATTGCATTGATGTGATTTTTTTTTTTTGCATTTCGTAGTCCTCTTTTAAAATAGAGAAGAATTTTGATACAGTGATGGAAATCAGTGAGATTGTTCTTGCAGCAGGGTAATACTCTGTTGCTGAAAAAGCCTTTTCTGGGGAAACTTTACATCAATGGGATTTTTAAATGAATGGGTGACTGAACATACTTTTGACAGTCACAAATGAAAATAATTGGATTTCCTTGCTAAACGTGGAGAAGCATTGTCAGAAGAGTAACAGTGTGAAAGAAAGATTATCTGTGCCTGTTTGATTTGGGAGTGTTTAATAAATGAGTCTTTAAATGAACCACTGTTCAGAGTCGAATGGTATTTCGATGGACCTAATTTAAAGTAACCAGTACTTAATTTTTTTATTTCTTAGCAACTCCGATCCCAAGCTCGTGCACTGATAACGTTTGCTGGAATGATCCCCTACAGAACGTCAGGAGACACGAATGCAAGACTGGTGCAGATGGAGGTCCTTATGAATTAGCACAGATGCTTTCAGTTAGAACTGTAGCATCCCCTTCCTGTCATTAGCTCTTTAAGCAGATGGGCCCAATATCATTTTGTATCCTGTATTTTTGTCAATGAAAATAAATTTCTTTGGTTTATATTTGTTTTTGACATCTTTTTATTTTCACCGATTTGTATTTTTTTATTCGTTTTTTAACCATTGCTTTATAGAAAAACATACTTTAAGTAAATGGGCTGCCATACGGAGAGAGATGGGGTAGCTGTTATTTTTGGAGAGGTCAGTAAACTACTGTAGAGTACAATCAGGAAGTGACAGAGGAAGCTTTTAATGGCAATGCACTTTTCTCTGATTTGAGCATTTAATAACCACACAGCTTGGAAATCTTCACCTTTTTGGGCTTCTTTGAAAAATGAAGGTAATTTATAAGTTGAAAATATGTATATGTTCTTTGTCTTACATAAGAGCTGCTGTACATAGCATACATTGTTCTCTTGTGAATAACTATATACCTTTATATGCTGCAGTTCAGCTTTACATAGAATAGGTAGAGTTGGCAGAATTAGACTTTTATTTTTTAAAGTTTTGATGAATAATATCACTGTTTATTTTTTGTATTTTTAATTTTTATCAATTTAAATGTTCACAGTTGCAGGACATTGAGTTTTAAGCACACTTTTCAATTTCTATCTATTTTAAATTTTTCACAGTTGCAGGAAATTACAGGGAGGTCAGACAATAATTATTTAATGACGATTAGACACTGCAATTTTAAAAAATCAAAAGCTTTCTAACACAAATTGTCAACATCCCTTCAAAATGTACAAAGTAAATATCCTTAAATCAAACTGTAATAAGTTCTCATGCAGCATTTTCCTTACTTTGCCTATCTTGTAAATTTAGATGATCAATGGAAATATTTTTTTTTCATGGATTAGGGTGTGTGGTGAAATGGATGTTTACTGAGTTTTTTTCTGATAAAAATCTAACCCTTCCAAGCCTAAGGATAGGTAGCATAAACTGACACTTCAGAGGAGGTTTAAAATATGAGGCCAGATTCTGAGCTTACAAACGCTGGTGGAGATCCAATCTAACTGCACTGACGCCTTTGCAGGAATCGGTGAGGTTTCCAAAGAAAAACAGAAACTACTGTAACTGATTCAAAAGGATGATATTTCAGAAAAAGATTTGAACAGAAGAGTCTCATTAAATACCAGTCACTTTTTAGCCAGTCAAGACTTCAGGTTGCCATGACACAGTGTACAATTTACCCCCAGGTTAGAATGCTAGAGATCTGAAAGAGGAAGACCAAAATGTTCAAATGTGGGTGTCTGACGCAGGGTACAGTTCCCGTGGTAGCAAGTACCCACAATTCCAACTGTTGTCACTAAGAGTTCTGGGTGCTTAACACCTTTGAAAATCAGTGCTGCAGTGTGGATTTTAGGTGACTAAACTTAGGCACCCAAGTTTGAAAATGTTGACTGAAGTGTGTCATCAGGAAGGCCCAGGGATTGGATTGTATGAAAACTCACGGTCTAAAATACACTTGTATATAGCGGCCTATCCATCTTAAAAATGGAATGGGACAGATACCAGCTCTTAGCCTTTTTGCTCCTGGTCCTCCATAGCACCTGCTGTGTAGCTTTTCAGATCATGGAAATGTCAGGACATACATGGTTAGAAGCACAGCAGGTGTGTTCCAAAGAGACGAACCAGCAGTCAAGAGATTAATACACAGAATAGTACCAGCTTTCCCATCTCGGTGCCCAGGATGGGAAGAACTGGTTTCCTATTTTGCATCACTGAGTAGGATTCGTAACATGTGTAGAGGGATATATAAACACACTGCTAGTTGCTGTTCTGAGTGACTTGCAAACTATTGGGTCAGATTTTTCTAACCACCTTTTACCACACCTTTGTTATGCCTAATTTTGTCAACTTTTCTCCGCTTTACAAGAAACCACAAGACAGCACGCAGCGGGAGACTTAGTCCTGGGGAGTTCTAGACTGTGGCGCTAACCTGTTAGAAAGATGACTGTTACTGGTATTGATCATCTGTATAGCGCTACAAATGTATGTGGCGCTCTACAAAATATGACCCGTTCTCTGGCCTGAAGAGCGTAAAGTGCAAGGAAGGACAGGAGGAGGCATAAGATGAGAGCACAGTTAAGGAAGGGGATGTTGAGATACCTAAACATTATTCGGGGCTTGTCTACACTTACCAGGGATTGATGCGTGGCAATCAATACATGGGTGGTAGATTTAACGGGTCTAGTGAAGACCTGCTAAATCAACCACAGATCGCTCTCCCGTCGACTCCTGTATTCCACCGGAACGAGAAGAGTAGGGGGAGTCAGCAGGAGAGCGTCTCCTGTCGACATAGCACAGTGTGGACCCCGCAGTAAGTAGATCTAAGCTACGTCGGCCTGATTCGCACTACTAGCGTAACTCAGATTGCGTAGTTCAGATCGACTTTCACACACAGTGTAGACGAGGCCTGGAGGATGTATTGGAGTGATCCTACATACCAGCTAACTGCCTACATTATGGTTTCATAATGAAAAAAATCATCACTAATTCAACATGAAAATCTCCTGTCTTTAATATCTCTGGTATGTTTGGGCATTTCCTGATATGACCCACTTCACCACTTAGTCTGATCTGCTAGAGAGCACAGGGCTGTAAACTAGACAAGAGAGTGGGGCGTCTTTTCTAAAGCCAACTGTTTAATAATCATTGACCAAATTATTTCACTTGTGTTTTTTCAGGTGAAGTCCAGTCCCCTCTCTTTCCTTCCCCAATTCTCCACCTGTCTGTACGTCAGCAAGTGCACTAACTGGACGTCCTTAGTCGTTACCTTAGAACACCCTATGTAATACAGGACCCGAGGAATCATGCCTTGTCCTAAGGCAGCACTGGAACTGCTCCCTCTCCGAAGAGATCACCTTGAGAGGAGCAGGCCTTTTTCCTGAAAGGCCTGCTTGTTTATAATTCCATCCCCTTGGTTATTTGCATTGGTGCATCTTCACAGTGGGATGGAAGACTTCCCGTTGCTTGTTTTTATTACTGTAGTTTCCAGTGCATGTTTATCTTGGTGGCTTGTGTGTTACCTGTTCCCGCTCTGGTTAGCTATTAAGCCATGTTATTTTGTTGGTGTAATTTTGTTCTTGAATTTGGATGATTGAAGGACTCTTGGTCCTTTGCACAGCTGATGATTGTTTTTTCAAACCTGGTCTATTAGGATGCTGTTGCAGAGGCATCCAACAGATCTGGGGGAAATGGTAGATGTGATATATTTTGATTTTAGTGAGGATTTTGACATAGTGCCACGTGACAGTCTCCTAAGCAAAGTAGGGAAATGTGGTCTAGATGAAATTACTATAAAGTGCAAAAAGAAAAGGAGTACTTGTGGCACGTTAGAGACTAACCAATTTATTTGAGCATAAGCTTTCGTGAGCTACAGCTCACTTCATGGGATGCATACTGTGGAAAATACAGAAGATCTTTTTATACACACAAAGCATGAAAAAATGGGTGTTTACCTTTTTTCATGCTTTGTGTGTATAAAAAGATCTTGTGTATTTTCCACAGTATGCATCCCATGAAGTGAGCTGTAGCTCACGAAAGCTTATGCTCAAATAAATTGGTTAGTCTCTAACGTGCCACAAGTCCTCCTTTTCTTTTTGCGAATACAGACTAACATGGCTGTTACTCTGAAACCTACTATAAAGTGGGTGCACAACTGGCTGAAAGACTTTAGTCAAAGAGTAGTTATCAATGGTTTGCTGTCACACTGGGAGGATGCATCTACTGGGGGTCCCAGAGTTATCCGTTCTGGCACTATTCAATATTTTCATTAATGGATAATGGAATGCAGAGTATGCTTAGAAAATCTGCAGATGACACCAGCTGCAGGGGGTTGCAAGCACTCTAAAGGCCAGGAATATAATTCAATATGACCGTGACAAATTGGAAAATTGGTCTGAAATTCAATAAAGACAAGTGCATTTTTAGGAAGGAAAAACCAAATGCACAGCTGCAGAATGGGAAATAACTGCCTAGATGGTAGTCCTGCTGAAAAGGATCTGGGGATTATAGTGGATCACAAATTGAAAATGAGTCAACAATGTGATGCAGTTGCTAAAAAGCTAATATGATTCTGGGGTGTATTAACAAGGGATGTAATTGTCCCACTCAGCTCGGGACTGGTGAGGCCTCAGCTGCAGTACTGTGCTCAATTCTGGGTGCCGCACTTTAGGAAAAATATGGACAATTTGGAGAGAGTCCAGAGGAGAGCAACAAAAATGATCAAAGCTTTAGAAAACGTGACCTGTGAGAAAAGGTTTTAAAAAAACAAACAAACCCTGGGTATGTTTAGTCTTGAGAAAAGACTGAGGTAAGGACCTGATAATAGTTTTCAAATATGTTACGGGCTGTTATAAAAAGGATGGTGATCAATTGTTCTTGTCCCCTGAAGGTGGGACCAGTAATGGGATTGATCTGCAGCAAGAGGGACTCAGGTTAGGTATTGGGAAAAACTCTCTAACTATAAGGTTAGGCTCTGGGACAGACTTCCGAGGGAGGTTGTGGAATCCCCATCACTGTCAGTTCTTAAGAACAAGTTGGACAAACAGGGATGGTCTAGGTTTACTTGGTCTTGCCTCAGTGAAGGAGGCTGGACTTGATGACTTTTTGAGATTCCCTTCCAGCCCTACATGGCCATGATCTCACAGCCTGAACCCAAAATAATTACCAAAAAACAGACCCATTGAAGCAAACTTCATTTTAAGCCGCTCCTTCCATGTCATAGTGGCTGTAACTCCTGCCTCTGTGGCCTCTTCTTAAGCATATGTTTTAGCCGAAAGCTGGGCTGAAACAGGGATGACTTGCGCTGTGCTTTAACAGCCCACACGCCCGGTCTCTTGGGAACTGACAGGGAAATAGATCCCATAGATGAAGACCCTTGGCTAAGAAAACATGGTGCTAACCCTGGAAAGCTCCATCGTAGCTCTCAATGCTAGCAGAATCCTAGCAGGTTGCAGGGGATAGGCAATTTCTCAGTGTAGCATGATGAATGGCAGTGAGATGTGCAAGGAGAGAGGGGATACCCTGATGAATAAAGTACCAGTGAAATAACAC